AAAGGCAGAATATTATAAGGAAAGAGATAAGATAAATTTTTGCTTTTACGTATCATCAAATAGGGATAACAATTTGGTACTACGTGCCTCATCATCGAATGCTTTGGTGTAATACCAGATATGTTAACAATTCAGCACTATGTTAGGTGATATTCGAATGAATTATAATAGTTAGCAATTCGACACTACGTCAGGTGATATTTGAATGAATCATAATAGTTAGCAATTCGGCACTACGTCAGGTGATATTTGAATGAATCATAATAGTTAGCAATTCGACACTACGTCAGATGATATTCGAATGAATCATAATAGTTAGCAATTTGGTATTACGTGCCTCAAACCTGGTCATTATCGAAAAATTAACCAGAAAGCTAGGGTACTTCGTGCCCAGTTCGGGCATAATCCTCACACTGGGCCCGCAAATGATGCCACACGACTGAATGCATCATTAGTTCAGCAATGGAAATTAGATGACACTGATGATAGTATCATATTTTTGTCATCAAAAATGTATCATAAAAATTATATCATGATACTAACGATGATGTCATATTTTTGTCGTCAAAAATGTGTCATAAAAATTATATTATGACATTGACGACAGTGTCATATTTCTGTCGTCACAACACTGACGACGGTGTCACATTTCTGTCATCATGACACATAACTGGGATTATTATAGTCTAATCTAAGTCATTTTTTGTTTATATAAACAAAAAATGACTAAATTAAATGATAATTTTGACTAATAATTAATGTTAAATTCCATTATACAACATTATTTTTTTTGTTGGATTTATATTCTTTCTTTTTTATTATTTTTTTATAATAGCTAACTATTTTTGTTAAGAGTTGAAAAAGTCCAGCATCAGTTTAAATAACTTGCTGAGCTCTCTTTCATTATCTTTAAATACTTGTAGTACAACTATTAATAGCTACTTTTGAAATAGAAAATTGATCTGGTTGTCATTATTAACATTTGTTGCTGGCCTAGAAGGAGAATTAGTTCTTGCTAGAATATTGTCATTATTATTTGTCTGGATATTTTGATTGTTCCAGTTTTGCTGATTTCTTGTAGCATTTTGTCAATAAGTATTGGCATTGTAAGACTTATTGCAATTTTTTGACAGATGTCCAATTTCATTACAGTTATAGCAAATAGGTGATTGGTAATTATTGTTACAATAATTTCAGTCATTGCTTCTTGGTTGGAAAGCAGGTTTTCTTGGTGCTTCTAGAGTTTCTAATCTCTTTCTAAATCAAGAGGATAATCATGCGGGTAATTATAAGGATTTGCTGAGTTTGTCCAATTATCTGACAAAATCTATTATTAATATCTCATAAAAAAATGATACGATTAAAATTGATGTCTGAAAATTTGAAAACTCGCATTTGCGGCATAATAAAATCGAAAAATTATATCGTGTTAACGAATTATTTTTTTATTTAATCCAATGAAATCTAACGGTTGTATGTAATGTTGCATGGATATATAATATTAATTATTGTAAAATAGAATTGAGATCACGCATCGAACTAATTCAGGATTGAGGATTCTATTATATTAGTTCAGACAAAATAAAAAAGTGTTCATTTGAAACCTTAAAATCTCTTTTTGTGAAATTAAATCAAAATTTACAATTAGTAAATTTCTCACATTGAACAACTTTTTTCTAAGACGGATCCTAATTTGAACCATTAATTAAAAATGTTCTACTCAATGAAATCCAACTATTATAAAAATTTAAGATCCTAAAGTCCGAATTCGGTCCTTTGGGGTCTTAAATCTCGGTAAATTTGGGGCCAATTTTTATGAAAATTGGTTTAATTAGTAGTTCAAATTAGGATCCGTCTTAGGAAAAAAGTTGTTCAATGTGAGAAATTTACTAATTATAAATTTCACAAAAAGAGATTTTAAGGTTTCAAATGAACACTTTTTTAGTTTGTTCGAACTAATGGTCATGGAAATAAAAATTCTAGAAAGTGTTCCGTTACATGTATATATAACGATAAAGTAAAAACCACGGCACGTGATTACAATACAATGATTGATATATACGCTCTCTTCCTAGTCAAATAAGTTCTAGCTTATGTAGCATTCAACAAATTTGAATTGTGAAACACTAATGCGATCGCCGAAATTAAATTACTGAGAAATATTTCGGATTTTGTCCATGTTTGGTTGATTATATATATCGATATGTATAATGTTATTGATTAGTTCTTTTTACTGACTTTGGGAGTTGTCGCCGATGACAATATAAGAAAAATAATTGTAGATTTTTTGGCTTGGTGAGATAGGTTATTATCGACTAATTTAATAATCAATTGTGAATTTTAATTCTTATTTTATATTGGTATTTTAATCACCACTCATTCAAGTGAGAGAGAAAGAAATGTTATTATACATTATCACTGGATCAACATTCTCGAAATTGATTGGTTCATCATGGAGAGGTGGAGGAATTAGAAGTAACAATATTGTCAATAGTGATTACAAGTATTACTATTCACTTGCGGCTACAACAGCTTTCATATTATCTCCTATTACTGGAGGTTCACCAACATACCCTTCTTTGATATTATCAAAAAGAGCCAATCAAAATGAAACAAGCAGCAGTATCGACGCCTTCTCTAACAATATCACCACAACATACAACACAAGATCACTTAAAAAGAGTTTCTTCTATAAACCGTCATCGTCCTCCTCTGATAATAATAATGAAAAAGACTCATCGATATCCCAAAAACCACCGTCATTAATGATTCTAATTGGCTGGTTCAATTCAACTCCAAGATACTTTCGTCATTACATTCAAATATATACAAACACATTTAACGTGGACACGCTATCACATATTCCTCCTACACATCATGCTTTTCTGCCATGGACTATTTTGCCACATGTTCGTCATCTCGCACGAAATTTATTAGCATATTGGGCTGAAAATGGACGTCCTGAGGTCGGATTTCATGTGTTCAGCAATAACGGTGCTTATCATTACGCGTTATTATTTGAAGTGATACGTGAAATCTCTAGGGAAACATCCTCCGGATATAATACTGAAATTTCACGTGATGCAATACGATTTCTAAACTCAGTGAGATCTTGTGTTATGGATTCTGCTCCTTCTCCCATACTTCCAAAATACATTGCTTTGGGTATAGCCGGTGGGTTTTTACGTCCTGCACCAACCACTCCTTCCCCTTCAAAATTAATCCTTTCTGACCCTTCATCTCCCCCATCCTCTTTCCCATCACGTAAACACTTTGAAAGAGTCCCCATTAATCCACCCTCATTTCTTGTGAGTCTCATTAACGCATACTTTCAATTGGGGGTTGCCAAAAAATATCAGAAAATCGCTCATGATGCTATCTCGAGGGTACCCGCCGGAAATACGCGATATCTATTCATTTATAGTCTTAATGATCAAATTGTGCCTGACTACGAAATCGAAACGTTTATCAAAACTTTAAAAGATCGTGGTATACGTCACGTTTTCAGTAAAAAATTTGTTTTGGGTAGTGATCATGTGCAACATTTTATGAGACATCCAAGTGAATATATAAATTCTTTACGTGATTTCTACGAAAATAACTTAATCCTCTAACTGAAAATTAATAGGAATAGTAATATTATTGTATTTATTATATTATATTATATTGTTGTTGTTATATAATAATTAATATTATTGGGGTTCTTTTTCTATGAATATACAAAATATACAATTTGGTAATAAATATCAATTAAAGTTTGTGTATGTGAAATAATTATGAATGCTGATAACCAAATTTTTGTTTGAACCCCGTTATTAAAAATAATGTATATTAAAAAATAAATAATATCCCATTATCTCAACCGCCAAAATGATAAGTTAATGTTTATGGAAACAATTGTTACAGCTGCCTTTTTTAAACACATTCGGTGAGTAATCATTGCAGCCACACTCTGCACAAGCAGCAACATTTGCTGTTGGTGTATCTTTCTCAAAATAATCTTGTGGTATATAAGAATTTCGGGAGTTATTTCCCAGCGCAGAGCTCTCATTAGATTTGAATCCTCCAGGTCGGGGTGGCGGAGGACGACTTGAAGAAGAATTACGTGATGGTGGTGGTGGTTTTGAGTTTCGTGATGGAACAGGTGGTATATTAGCAGAAAGCGGAGTTGATTGAGAACGTCTTGATGTATTTTCACTTGAAGATCTTTGCGATTGTGGACGTGTTGGTACAGATTTAGATGAATTATTACGCGACGGTGGGGAAGGCTTCTTTGGTGGGGGTCGCTCTTCTTCATATTCCTCTTCCACTTCTTGTTCTTCCATTTCTTCCGCATATTCTTCTTCCTCTTCGTAATTTTGTTCTTCTTCTTCTTCATAAGTATCTTCGATATATTTTTTCGATGATTTAGATTTTTTATCGGAATAATCATCCATTGATGATTTTCGGGACGTAGTTGTAGAGCGTCGTGGGGGTGCTTGCATTGTAACTCGAGGTGGCGATTCAACTAAAACCGGTTCTGTATAATTTGCAGGAAACATTCCTTTATAAAGAGTCCCATCAGCAGTAGTGATTTCACCGATCCACCATCCTTCATCAATTTCTTCTAATACTGTAATGATATCCCCGACTTCCATTGAGAGCTCCTCTTCTCCTTCCCCTTGGTAACTATATAAAGTTCTTACTTGTTTTTTCAAAGATGAAATGGCTTAATGGAAATAAAACAATAACTAATTAATATAAGTTTGTTAAATTTACAGAACTTCCAAAAAATAATCTTGCAATTGAATTCTTACCAAATTTTTTCGAAGCTGAATTTTTATTTGGTATATCTATTGATTTTGATGGAGTGGGAGAAGTGGATGTTCTTCCAGCGCGCGATTTTGAACTTGGAATAGCAAGGTTATCCGATCTATCCGGTTTTGATTGTGCAGGAAGTTTAGAGCTTGCCGATCTACTTGGGGAAGAAACTTTTTTTCCTTTTCGAAAATCGCGCGTTGAATTAGACGAACGAATACTATCGTTGTCTGATTTTTTTTCTTCTTCTTCGATATCTGAGCGTGATCGATCAGAATCTTGAGTATTTTTACGCGCAGGAGTACGTCTTACAACAAATTTAGATTCACTAATTTTTTTAAAATATTTAGAATTAGTTAGTCAATGACATCATTTTCTTAACGATTAGCTTAAAACAAATATTAACCTTTCAATCCAATCCTTACGAACAGCTGAAAGAATTTCGTGTCCTTTTTTGAAAAATTCCAGCTCTGCATCAAGAAATGCTGTGAGCTCTTGCACGTACTGGCCCTGTTACGAAAAAGAATAAATTAATTAATTATCTTAAATAGCCAAACAATTATGCAAATAAATAAGTTTATTACAATGTACCTCAGATTCATGTACCGCAGTCATTTTATCACTCATATCTTCGATTGTTTCCTCATATTTTTGTTTTGCCGCACGCATTTCTTCTTCTAATTCGGGTTTTTCTTTTTTAGACTTTTGTACTTTGCTTAGTTTTGCATCATAGTCAAGTCGTCGTGATTCAAGTTTTCGTTTGAGTGACTTTGTTGGGGACATTAATTAACTTATTATTATTATTTGTAATGATTTCTTGGTTTATTTCGTAAATATTAAGTACCTGATACTGCCGTAAATCGTTTATCGTAAATTCGAGTCCTTCAAGAAATTCTTCTCGAACTCGAGTCACATATTCTAATTGTGCATTAGCTACTTTTTCGTTGGCTATTCCAAACCTAACCAATGCCAAACCTGAGCAAAAAATTTTTAATGCAAGATGTAAAAAAAAATAAGCTTATGCTTATGAATGATATTAGAAAAAATCATAAATATTTAATACCGTAAGGGGAATCGGTTCCGATTTCTTCGCCATAAACTCGCATGGTAGAACCGAGCGTCTCAATCGGAAGTGTTTTGGTTTTCTCTTCAATCGAATCTTTCTTCTTTGCTAACAGGAACGAAATAAAACGATCAATAAAAACTCGAAATAATCGACGAATTATTAATGAGTTAATATTCGGTTATTTACATATGGTCTTGATATAGGTATCTGTGGCGAAATGGAGTTTATCAAATCCGTTATGTCTCATGTCAGTCTTTTGTTGTAAATCTTGGAACTCATCGGTGGTCTCGGTTTTTTGCGAAGACCCCAATTTTTCATTTGTCCACTGTAATAAAAGTTTCGAACGATGAGAGGTTATTTTTGGGAAAAGGAAAAAATATGGGTCTCCAAACGAGAATTACCTGCTTCAATTTACCAATGTTTTTCTTCATTGTAATTCTTTAGTAGGTGATGAGGTTTTTATAAAAGTCAAACGAGATGTCTTGAGAAGGTTCAAGTATTTATAGTCATACAAGAATACGTATGAAACTAAGGTAATGTGAGAAATTTAAAAAAAGCGAACAAAGAAATTCACGCGCCTTAAAAAATTTCTTTAGGTAGATGCATATCGATATTACTACACGAAAGTGGTGCATGCATGTCGGTCTATGTAGATATATATATTATAATTATATCTAAATAAAGAAATTTTATTCATGTAGCAATTTACTATATATGTATGAAAATTATCTATTCTATTTACAGTTATCCCTGGATATAACAATTTTTATAAAATATAGTAAATTTGATATAACGAACTTTATCAATAGACGTTATAACAGAGCTGAATGACATCTCAAGTAGTACAAAATTAAGCATTTTGATTGGGTAAAAGATGCTAATATATGCACCCTTAGTATTGTATACACCAATTTTGCGCTAGTATACCAAATTCGGGGGATAAGTTAGGGTGACAAATATTAGCTAATATCCCCCTTATCGTTATTAATAGTATAACCCTGTGTCATACTGACATACCATATTCGTACCAAAAAAATTAATATACTTTCAATGCTTGTAATGAAATTATAAAAAGACGATGTCTCGCAGAATTCTCCGCAAGCTTGAAAAGAAACAATAATGTATTAGTAATAAAAAAATCTTTGAGCAGAATCTTTCATTTTTGATAGAGAATTTGTACAAACAAAAGCGGACGCAGTCGAGGAAAGACACAAAGTCAGATACAAAATCGAGGGGCAAGATTTCAATGATCACTTCAATGATGACACGACCATACCATATGATTATTGCGAAATAAAGTGTCAATTCAAAAAATTAATGTGCCCATCGTCGAAAAAAAGTTACGTGCTCTGGATGTATATATGGCGTATGTCAATATATGTTTCTTGAATTCATTGCCATATTTTATTTTGAAGCCATTGTTCCAATCGAAAAAAAAACAGCATTTTCCCACAACCGTCAAATGTGTCACTGTGTATCCTGAAGCGATGACAAAAGATCCGCGAAGTTACGTTTCGCAATAATGTGTGTACACAAATTGAAAACTTAATTAGAGACGGTGATTTCAGTTCTTTACATGATTTCTACAGGAGGAAATTGGAAAGAAAAAATCGAAGAGGATATATCAACAGTATTTGAATTTTCTCCTCGTTAACTTTTGCTTTCAAAAAAAGAAACTGTTATAATGAGCAATATTTTTATATTTTTGTGTGTGTTAATTTATTAATAATATTTTATTTGCGTGAATAAAAAACATTAAATATATATATATGTATATATTATAAAGGGTGGTGTGTTGTGTTGTGTGTTTGTACCATAAGAGATGATGATGAGAATCTTTTAGTGTTGTTGAAATTTTATGTTATATACTTTTGTTAAATAATAACGAGCAAAAATCGGTTAGGAATAAGAATACATAGATTTTTTAGGGAAAAAGTATAAAAAAAATATAGAAATGTATATCCAGATCAATCTAACTAAACGTAGTAGAAAAAAAATAACTATCTAGTACATTTAGTTGTATTGGCCTAAATAATACAACCATAATTTTTGACTCTTGTTACTGCAAACCCCCATTATCTATAATGTAAACGCTATGTCGAGGATATAAAAATCGTCACCTCCAATTCTTTGAGTTTTTTCCTATTCTTTTCAATTAGTGAAATCAAAAAAATTTTTATTTGTAAAAAATAATTACAAAGTTAAAAAAAAAAGAAAAAAGCAAGAAAGAAATAGTAATGGGGAAAGATTTTAATTGAGATGGAAAAGAGTCTGAAAAAATTAAAGCATAGAACATCGTCATCTTAATTTTATATTATTAAGAGCTGATGTTTGGTGAAATGATGAAAGTGTGCGTGATTGATCATCGTTCGGATGAATGCTGGTGTTTTTGCTGTCATGCGATATTTCTAGTTAGATCACGTGCTAACGAATCAGGGAAAAAAGAATAGACAAGAAATAAGAGAAAAAGGATGAAAATTTACGCAGAAAAACTTTTTTTCGCTTTCCCAAGATGATAATAATTATGATAATATAATAATATAATATATATACAAAAAAATAATAAGGTCTTGGGCAAGCTTAAAAGAAAGCGTTCCTTCGTATATTTTGTATCCTGCAAGTGCATTCATAAATAAAAAAGATTGCACCATTGCTAGCAAATTCCCTTTCTTTGTTGAAAATAAAAGCAAATAAAATCAAAAACACAAAACGCCTGAAAACAATCCACAATGACATAAAATAAAATGACGACGTAGAAAAAAGGTGGTGATAAAAAGGGTTAAAAAGGGTTAAAAAAAGAAACGAAAACAATAATTGTCCAGCAATCTCTGCTGAGAAAAAAAAGCCAAAGAGAAAAAATAATAACAATATATACAGATGTAATGTGTCAATGTAATTATTACACGACGGGGAGAGTTTTTTTTGTTATTGTTCGTTTGATCATGATCATCATTATAAAGGAAAGAATAAGAAAACAAAATACCGAAATATTTGTTTTTGTTTTGTGGTCCATTTTTTCTTATTTCATTTTTATATAGAACTAAAAAGAAATAAAGTCAAAGAAATGATGATGACTATAATTGCGCGACGAGAATAGTGAAAATAATTACAAGGGTATTTGATGGTGGAGGAGGAACTGTGTCAGAAATTTCTTCATTTAGCCATTAAAAATGATAAAAAGAGCTAATAGATTTAAACTGTGTTTTCGTTTATTTTTGATAGTAATATGTTCAGTGCATCCTCCATGGAATTATGATAATGCCACATAATTCACTGAACATCTACTTTGAAGAATGTTACTAATAGATTCAAAAAGAACATGATAAAAAAAACCCAACGTTTCCGAAAAGACCAAGAACGCGAGTTTTTTTTTGTGTGCTTATATACGTGAAATGTTCTCGTTCACATTTAATTGTCCCCGTTGTGAAATAATATACAATGACAATATTCGGGGTCATAAAAAGAGAAGATCAAGGTCAAATAATAAAAAAATAAGGATTTTTGATTAGACGAACCAGTCGTCTCGAATATTGTCATTTTTTTTCTTCTTTTGATGAAAAGAACTAAATAATAATAAAAAAAAAGGAAGAAAAAGAAAAATAAAAAGAACTAAATAATTTTGCTCGGTTGTGGTTATTGCTAATAATAATTATGATAACGAAAAGAACTATTTTGTTTGAATGCTAAAATATGTGTGTGTATTATGAAAAATTGAAATATAGAAAACGCCAAATAATAAAAAAAAATAAAAAGTCCAGCCCTTTATCCACCCATAAAATTATAGAACAAAAAGGAAGAAAACCTTCAATTGATTCTCTCTCACACGCCAAAGATCCACCAAAAACCCTCCCTTTCAACAAAAAGCCGTTAAATAAATTCAGGTCTTTTGTTTATTATTACATATCTATGTACAAATATAGTTGCGTGCGATGAGTGTATGTCGTGTACCATTTTTAGACTATAATCCCATTTCCAACACTACCTTCCAAAAAGTTCGGTGGTAATCCATACATAGCATTCGTATTGTATGCTGTTGGTTCATTTGCGAATACAGATACATAATTGTCTGGGACACAGGCATCTGACAGATCGGCCTGATGATTATTTGGTTCATATGAATAACATTCACTTCCATTACTACCATTGTTATTGATGTTGATATTGCTGTTGTTGTTATCCTCATAGCCAAGCTCAGAATGATCGTCGGACGGAGCTGGTGAATTATTCATTCCTCTTTCGTGAGTTTTCCGATGTTGAGCCAAATTGTCGGATCTCGAGAATCTCTTTCCGCATATGGGACATGCGTAAGGTCGTTCCATTGTATGTGTTCGTACATGACGTTTTAAATGTTCAAGACGTTTGAAGAGGCGACCACAGGTAGGAAGAGGGCAATTATAGGTTTTGAGAGGATAAGGCGATGCGTTTGATCGAGTTGGAGGTGAATTTGGATGATTCCCATTAATAACATTACCATTATTGCTGTTGTTATTCACCTGAACACTTGTGCATGAATTTGCGCGTCTTCTTCGCTGCTTATAAGTTGGTGAACCTTCGAAGAGCGAGAACATTCCAAATAGATTAGCAGCGGTTGCCACAGGATTACTAAGTGAAGAAGAGGAAGGTGATGATGTCGATGAAGATGGAGCTGTTGATGGGACCATTGTTTGATGTATTCCAGATAATTGAGCTTCTAAATTATCAGATGATGAGCGTCGACTATCAATGAAATGCTGCTGTGGCTGATGATGATGTGGTTGTTCTATACTCCAAGTCGTATTTGTCATGAAATAATCAGAATTGCTTCCTGTTGTCGAGTGATGATCGTTATTCACGGCGGCTGCTGCTGCAAATGTTGACTTCGATAACTCATCCATCGAACAATACCCAAGATCAGGTGAATATAAATGATGAGCTTTTGTGAGTACATTTTCACATTGAGGAATTGGATTGTAAAGGGAGTAATGTCCAATTTGTGAATTAGCAGCAATTTGTTGTTGTTGAGCTGTCTCATCATCAAGTGAGTATCCACAATTGGGTGACTCGTCTGTCTTTATTATCGGAACATTAACGGCATTCATCATCGATGAAATATTTGTCGGATCGTAAACTAAACTGTGAATTCGTGGCGACGATGGAGCTGAAGACGATGGCGATATTCCTTTGGTGAATTGATCATATAGCGATTGAGTGGAATCAAAGGAAAATGAGAGAGCGGGTTCCGCCACCGCAAATGTCGTTGGTTCAATTGACATTTTTTCACGTTTTAAATCACGTTCCAATGCATCCAAGAAAAGACGATCATGTGGAACAGAAAACCAATAGAAAACTTTTTGTTTCTTTTGTGTACGAATACAATTGTTCTTGTATAACATCTCCAAAAACTCTGATTTTGGCTCTTCAAGTGACGCATCCATACCTGGCTTGAGATTTCGTAAATCACTAAATACACCTTCTTCAAATTTCTTGATATTTTTTACTGGTCTTCCGAAAGCCTGGAATCGGAATACTAAGCTTCTCACGATATCAGTACCCGTGATGTGGTATAGTCCATTCCATAGTACACAGGAAACATATTCGCCAGTCGGTAAAAGATATCGACGAATATTCTGGTCTGGTTCCCAGTTACATGGTGCCGTTGCAAGCCAGTATTTAAGTTCGTCAACTTGTTCCATTGGAGTTTTCATCGGGTTGGCTTCTACGGTATTCATTGTGAATTTTTTAAAAATGTCCGTTTTTTTTTTTTGGAGAAAAAGAGACTCTGATTATTATATTACTAAATGGAAATGTAAAGGAATAATATACTTTTTGAGCCAAATATACGTTTTTTGTATCAAACAAAAAATGTAATTCGACAAATAATATGTACTATAGAATTTTATTAGAAACGAGAAAGCGCGGCTTCCTGGTGTTCCTTTAGAGTAATGGTGCGATTAGAACCTGTTAAAAGGTTTTATATTTTATTATTTCCAGAGTGGAAAGGGGAAATTAATCTATTCAATTATTAGTATTTAATATTATGTATTTTTATTTTTTTATTTGGCGAGTGTCTAGCACTACACTGAATTAGCAAAACCAGAGACAAATTTCAACAACGGGATTGGTACAAAACACAACACTTAAAAGCATGGAGGGTGAAGACGAAAAAAACCGGAAGTCTCGTCCTTATAAAAACTACCATATGTATGACAAACGTTGTCCTTTATGGTTCACAACATATCAATTTTTTTTTATTTTATTTATTTATGTATTACATTAACTTTTGGGGATTTATTGAGTGAACATATTATATGATGGCGTAAATTATTATCCACCCACTCTAAAAACGGAGACTTTGTTCCGATTAATTCTCTCGGGAAAAATAACAAAAAGTTGGTAACAACGGTAAAGTTTCTTCTTTGCTAGGATTTAGATTAATTTTCGAAATTTTGGATGTTTATTTGGAACTTCTCCTCGACGGTTTCATTTACAATAATAATCCCTATGCTCTCAGTAATAATATGAATATTTAGCATGATAATAAATAATATTTACCTTACGGATGATAATAGTGATAATAATTGAAAGAATATAGCATTCTTTATCGGGTAGAGTTTCTGACCACAATAATACTTTTTTTTCGTGGATAGATTAATATTATCGTTGTTAGTGTCATCACTATTTTCATCATAACTGCCCAATTCAATTGCTTTGTGATGAATGCTCTTATTTACTTATGCATTATACTTCCTCACATTATTTTTTTAATTGCTTTGATGCATTATTTTCTATTAACACTATATGCATGTTTTGTTTTATATTTCTGGTATATTTAGTTGATCATCATTAACCTTGTTGATCTATGTATGACTTTTATTGTTCTTTCATCAATAAATGGGATTTTTTCCAGTGGGGGATAAAAATAACCTTATAACATACCGATACGTATAACCAAATGCTCTCTATTCTCTGTGTTGCACGAATGCAAATGCATGCACGCGTTGTTATACACGACACAAAATATGCATCTATCCCATAAAGTTCAAGTATTATCGTTATCCGCTGCTACGCATCTTTTGAAGTTATCATCGGTAAATCCAAATCAAGATATTAGTCATTAAAAGAAGAGATTAGTCAGTCGCCATTCATCGTTCATTTAAGAGTAATAACCGAAATGTATGTAGTGTTATATAGACACCAAGGTCTGCCGAAATTATCAAGAAATGATTTAGAAAAAATACGGAAATTAATTAATTAATTGTAAGGGAGCGATTGGAATTGGGTTTTGAACCGGACCAAACCATGCCGGAAAAAGGTCATTGAAAAGAAATGTCAATACATCACATTACATGACTTTACATGACCTTTGGCAAGCGTGATCAAAGTTAACCAGATCAGAACAAGAATAACAACAAACTAACCGTGGTAAAAATAGATTTTCCTTTTTATTTTTATATGAATGTCTGAATGATCATGTCATGTTGTGTGTACAGTACAAAGAGGCGTAACCCAAAATCTTGATTACACAAACCCTTGTTTGCCAATCCTGTTCTGTACTCACATATTGATAATACAAATTACGATTCAACGAGAAATTCTTGGTCGTTATTAAAAACTAAAATTGGTACATATCATACTCGTTCTATGAGTTTGTAAGAATTGAAATTATTACTTGGTGAACGGACTGCGTATGAAGTGTTGGCGCATAGCAGTAAATCGACATATATTCGGAGCTCAAACTTATCGCTAACTGATCAGTTAATTTCGAGTAAAAAAATAACGAATTCATTTTCACCAACCACCCACTCACTCACCCACCCATTCATTAGTTGTGATGATTATTTTTACCCTTGATTAATTATCGATATACCGATACAATAACGATAATAATCGTAATAAAAGTGCAGATCTGATCGTTTTTACTAACCGATTAGATTAAAATCTTGGCAAACTCGCATTGTGCCATTCTTCGAATTCGAATAAAATTACTTTGATTAGATTCACAAATAGCCTACAAATAAATAAATAAACAAATAGACCTTCACAATAAAATAAAACAGTAGTTTAATATTACCGAGGATATTGGGGACAAATGTATTCAAAGGGGTAATAATTCAATTGCTACCTCTATTGTTGAATAAATATCTTAATCAGCATCTGAAATATGACCATAGAATCATACAAACTAAAAAATCACGATCAAAAATTTACTATACACCGCATATGCTAATATATACACAATATTTCAATGCTATTTTATGTTTCCTTTTTCCTCTCCAAAATGTTTTACTTGAGGCAATTATGGGTCAAAGAAGGGTATTACTTTAGCATATGACGGATGGGAAAATAATCTGTTGATAGGGACATAATGTCTTCTTTATCGCAATTCCTTGTTGTTTTATTTCAATTTCCTTTGTAAAATCCTTAATGGAAGACCAAGAAGTATTTCATCAATATGTTGCATACATAGTCACCTCTCTAATTGAAGGGAAGTCATTTTCGTTCCTATCCAAATAGGAATAATAAAAATTTGCCAATGTTTTTGTTTTTTATTTGTTGATGTGAAATTATCCAGAGTGCATTTTCTCTGAAGTTAACAAAATATATATATATAATACTTACCCTTGCCCTCACTTTACATGCATGTGTAAATGTAAAACTCCATATGCATCAATCATGCTTATTTCATCTATATGTTTTTATCCAATTGATTAGCAAATCCAGCACACACTCAGTGTTGTCACTTGGCTACTTTGTCATGTAACATCTTGATTTCCATATTTTGAAGAAGACACAAAAATTTTGGATAAAAAAATAAAAATTTCGGGTATAGTAAAATTACTTGGTTAGATTTATCGCAATTTTATTCCGATCTTTGGATTCTTTATTTGGATCAACTTTTGTAAGGACGACTTCCTTCAACATTGATATCTGTTGTTAATCCAAGATCTATTGATCACGGACAAATGCCATTTCAAATAAAAGTTTTTACGTGCAATTTGTAATTATCAATATAAATCATCGCTTTAAATTAATCCCATTGGCTTCAACTTCATCAAAAAACAGCCGCTATCCTATTTTAAGCGAATTCACTTACAATCCCCTTTTTCAGCTGCTCAACATTCAATCAAGTTGAGCCAAGGCATTAAAGGATTCCTTGGCTCAGGTTGGTTGAAATGCTTAAGTTCTCTGCATTGAAGCGAGCTCCTACCACCAGCGAAGAGATGCCCCGAAGCCCGAACTTCCATATGGTTGCAGCCCTCATGCCAACATTCTCATGAAAAGGCATTAACCAGTACACTGATCAATTTTTATGGAGATAAGTTGCTGACTTAAGCGCAGCTACAGCAAAGGATTGTTGCCCCCGTGGAGTCACGTACCAACGATATGAAATGACAACGTACAGCAAAAGTCCTTCCGTTTTGTCTGGAGGCACTCCAAACGTGGAAGGGGCTGCAAGCTTAGCACGACTGACCTACAAAGATACAGAATTAAAGATTAATTAATATTTCCCCTCAAATGAAGCCACAACACGTGAGCACCCGGAAAATTCTATTTTAATGTTAGTTAACGTTAACGTTAACGTTAACGTTAACGTTAAAGGGTTGATTTTAAGATTACATGTAAAATTGCGCCCCCGATATTTTATACACATCGATATCACATGGATTACGACGAATGGACTCAATTCGAATTTAACGAATGGAATCGAATCGAATTGAATTGAATTGAATTGTTGAATTCGAATTAAATTCGTGATCTGAATCAAAAATCATGTGATAAATCTCTACTAAATAGATTTGACCGAAACTAAATTTTTAGAGAAATCTTGCCAATTACATATGATAAAACATGAGTGAACGTAAAGTCTTGAATAAATATTTCCCGCCAGATTTCGATCCTGCAGGTAAATACTCTTGTGAGTCTAACTTACTCTTGAATTTGCTTAGCTAACGATATTTATTTCTATAGCTATCCCAAGGAGGAAGCAAGCAAAGGATGCACAACACAAGGTAGGCTAGGCTACCTTCCTAATTTAACGAACATAGGTTAAAGCTTGATATTAAATTACTCTTTTATTCTATTCTTAAAGGTTCGTCTTATGACACCATATGCCATGCGTTGTGAAACATGTGGCGAATATATTTACAAGGGAAAAAAATTCAACGCACGTAAAGAAACAGTAGAAGGCGAATCCTACTATTCCATAAAAATCTTCAGATTCTACATCAAATGTCCTCGTTGTTCTGCCGAAATCACATTTAAAACGGATCCCAAAAACACGGATTATGTAGCCGAGCATGGTGCCTCTCGAAATTTTGAACCGTGGCGTGAGGAGCGTATCGCAGGCGAAGAAAAACAGTTGAAAAAGGAACAGGAGGAGGAAAATAATCCAATGAAAGCGTTAGAGAATCGTACGTTAGATTCGAAACGGGAGATGGATATTTTAGATGCGTTGGATGAGATTCGAACGCGAAATGCACGTAATGAACGTGTTGATGCTGATGCTTTGTTGGATCGGTTGATTGAGATAGAAGATGAACAAGAGAAAACTCTTGAAGAAATGATTGAAGATGAAGACGATAAACTTACGAAAGCTGTTTTTCAAGACGCTAATGGATTGTCTGTTAGAAAAGCTAATCTGGATGAAGAACCAAAAGTCGAGGCGTTACTTTCAGAACAAGCAAAAATGGTTTCATTGCCCGATTTCAGTACACCGATTATTAAAAAACGAAAATTGCCAGAAGCTGATTTAGGTGCTGGTTTAATTATTAAAAAGAAAGCGTCATCTTCATCATCAAAAACTATAACTACAGCAACAGCGACAACATCTAAATTCCCAATGACCACATCATCCACATCAAAAACTCCACTAATAACCATAGCAACGTCAAAAACTCCAATAATAATAAAAAAAGAACAAAAATCTGTTCCAGTAACAGCAACTTCATCGACTTTATTATCATTAGGAGATTATGGTTCCGATAGTGATGATGATAATGAATAAAATTTACCAGTGCAATTGTATCATTAGATGCCTCAATTCCGCATCAGCTCTGGCCATTTGTCGTTTCTTTGCTGATAAATATCATTGCCAAAGCTTTTTGTCTTTCCTAATAATTGAGCCGCGACACAATTCTCCTGGCTTTCGCAAAATATCGCGGTAATTTAATAAATCATATCGTCATATTCTAATGTGTATCGAAATTGTTAAACCGTATAATATATATTTTTCTTTGCATGCTCAAAACTTAATTTTTTCCTTATTCAGAGAAAATCTCAAGCTCATTCGAAAAAAATTTTTCAAGGTAAACTTTCACAATTATGAATTTGATGGTGTATGGTGGTCATTATAAGTAATAGTGTACAAAATTTAATGCGATTCTAGAGCAACGAATCTAAGAGAATAATGAAAGAAAAACGTATGACTAACAAAAAGAGTGTTCATATCTTACAGGAACTGATGCGAAATGTGTGTAATAATATATGTAAACTATATATAAACTATATAGTTTCACCAAAAATAATGGCAACAATGTATATATTTAGGATTCGATATAGAATGTTATACCTCCAAATTTACTATTAATCCTCTGTCTTGTTATTCTTAAAACTATCTTGACCACCATCAACAGAAGAATTATTGTTAGCACTCGAAATAGTATTCGAGTTATTATTATTATTATTATTATTATTATTATTATTATTATTATTATTATTACTACTACTACTCTTACCAACTTCTACTACAGTTTGGCCGACAACATCTACCACTTGGTCATCATCATAATCAACTTCCGCCGTAACATTTTTTTCGTTGTTATTACCACCGCCATTATCTCCATCGACTAGTTCACCTGGTTTCACCACAGCACCTTCAAACAAATAAATATTCGGCTCAACAAATTGATATGATGTCGCGGGAGCTGTCTTTGATGATCCTCCTGGTAATTTTTCGTGAATAATCTCCCAGTCAAGTAAACGACAAAGTTCAGAGATGATTATATCACAATCACCGAGTAATTGCACATCAAAGTGCATATGTTTAATTGGGGTACGATTAATAACTATTTGAGGAACTCTATGAGGTATTTGACCTATATGAAATAATTAACACATCCAAATTAATTTCCCAACGTAAGGCATTTTTTTATAGTATTATGATAAAAAGAACGCACTTACCCATTATCTCACTAACAGGGGCAACTTTTAAGCTGCTACCCATCACTATTAACAAGTCAACTTTTTCACGGTCCTCGGGAAAAAGTTCATCGAATTCAGGTGGCAGTTTCTCGCCAAAGAAAACAATATCTGGTTTCATAATAGAACCAGAGTTTTCGATATCCTCGTCGTTACTTGTTAAGCGACATCGAGAACAATAAGGTACTCGTTTTGCCAGGATGTCTTCTTTGATTACCTCTCCATCGACTTTATAACCGCAGTTAATACAACTTGCAGTGGCAAAAGATCCTAATGTGATATAGGAATTTTTAACAAATGCAGATACTCTTCAGGAACTGCTATAATTGTCCTTATCGTGCTTACCATGGCATTCTAAAACTTTTTTTATTCCAGCAGCTTGTTCCAAAGTGTCGATATTTTGCGTATAATTTCTCAACAGTTTACCTTTATCTTCTAAAAGTTTTACAAAGCAATGTGATGATGACGGTTTAAAATTGCTCGGGAATATTTCCTATTGAGAAAATTGAATTCATAACATTAGAATTGGTTCTCTTTAAAAGGGTATGTAGACAGCAAAAGGTACCTTTGCAAAAGAGTAAAAAACTTCCGGGCAGTCTTTGAAGTAATTTATATCAAACATATCCTGCGGATCATCTAAATTAAATTCTGACAACCGAGAGTAAATTCCATTCTCAGAACGAAAGTCTGGTATGCCACATGATACGGATACCTGATAAGCCAGTTCTGCACACATTAATGTCATATAAATTGTACCATTTTTTTTACAAACAGAATTGATTCTTGGAAAGCGAAACTGACCCCTGCACCTGTTAAAACCATGATATTCTTTGATTGTTGCAAAAGCCTTACAACATCATCTGACGTATTGACATCTGCTAGTTTTTGCCGCTGCCGAAGATATTTCGTAATTACTTTGTGAAGTATGGGTAGTAATTGCGTATCGGATAGACCTGTTATTTTTGATGGCTATTGTATGGATTACGAATTTGCTGGACTTTTAACTCTAATTAAAACAACTAATTTTAGAAATTTCATATTTCACCTACCACTTGGTAATCAAAAGCAGAGAAAAGCTTCCTAATCGGCACTCGTTTTTCAAAGAAAAATTCTTGAACAAATTTGTGAGTGCCTTAATTATGTAAAAATAATGTTTCATTATCAAAATTGTGATGATATTTTCGAAAGAATAATATATATATATATATTTATAATACCTTTTTCTTTGGCTTCTTTTTTAAAACGTCCGCGTTCTTCATCACTTAAGATTATTGAATCTTCTAAAATAGATAGTTGATAATCATAGTGAAGTTTAATAATAAGTATAATAATAAATATTATGAAAAGTATATGTTTTATTAATAAAAGCGTTCTAAATATAAATTTACTTTTTTTTACCTTCGATCTCAGGAGGGGTTGGCTCTTCTTCATCATCTGTCCTATGATTTATATTATCAATTATTTCGTCAAGGGATGAGGTATCGTCACTAATTGCTTCATCAAGATGGTCTTCCTCTCTCCAGCTTTCATCGTCATCATCTTCATCGTCATAATCGTCATCCTCTCCATCTTCATCATCTGATTTAGATAGTTTTCGTCTATTATCACCATTTAAAGAATGTATAGTTGATGTTGACGCATGTTCTCCATCAGCGGAACCATTGACGACTGTTGTTAGATTAATAGTATTGTTATGTTCATTATGAGTCAAAGTCTTTAATTTATTCAATTCATGTATTTCCTGAGTAGCTAAAGTAGCTTCTTTGTTCAAAATAGGTTGTTCTTCTTGGCCATGAGTTATGGATAAATTAGATCGTTCTACAAGATCAGTCGAAAACTCTTGATTTACGAACTTAGAGTCATCAACTGAAGAGATTGGTGGAATAGAAAAGGTATTTGTAGATGACAATGTAGAGCAATATGTATTGTATTGAGCATCTTGCTCGGATTCCACAACACGAAGCCTTTTAGGCGATCCGATGTTGGTGTCTGAATTTTCATCACGTCTTCGAGTTAACATTTCTTTTTTTTAGTTTCTACTTAAACTCTGAGGTTAGGAGCACTTGTACAGATTAAAAGAGCCAAGGAGTATATAATAATGTGGTATTAATGCTCAATTACAGTAAAGATGATGAATCAATTGTCGCAATGGTTTCGCTTCACTTTTGTTTACACGATGCACACACCTCATTATATTTTTGATCGATTTTTCCTTTTTTGGATGATCATCAGACAAGGTATGGTGGATCACGTGTGAATGAAAATTAATTTTGTTCATTCGAGATTTTTGTCGTTTTGAATTTTGACTATTATTTTCTTATGATAAAATGGCAGCGAAGGTACCCATTACTCAACCGGATTTCTCCTCTACTCTGGATGCTGATGAGCTTTTCGTGAGAAATAGCATATCAGAATTACGTGTCATGGAAACGAATATTAGGTAACCGTACGAATGTGTCTTTATCAATAGTTTACTATATAAAAAAATGATAAAAAGGCGTGATGCTTTTCTTTGAGCTAAAAGACATTTCCATTAGGACCGATATTGAGAACAAAAAACAAGAACTAAGACTAATGGTTGGGTATGACACTTTTTTCTAAGTGCAAAGAAATAACGTTAATTTATATATCGTAACTTGATTGATTAACATGCATTCTCATTAAATTAGTGAGCGATACCGTGATCTGATAGATGCTGCTGACAGTATAGTCAATATGCGTCATTGCTCTCTATCAATTCAAGAAGAACTATATAATATGCAAGATTCTTGTAATGTTTACTCGTTAAAACAAACTGTTAGCGCGCAAATTGATGAAGATAAAAAAGGCACAAAAGGTGCTGTAAAAATAAATAATTTATATGTGGTTTTTACACATATGATTTAGATGCATGTGTTGAATAAGCAATATCATATCATAATATAGATGATAAGAAATATCATTTATATTCTTCGGCTGCGCAGATTAAATTATTGGTGGATGTACCAGAACAGGTTTTATTTGTTCATTCATTTTTGCGGTTGATTTGTAATCAGAGATAGATAGAAATTGAATTTTCATTTTTTGGAACAGATTTGGCGCTCATTAGAGAATCACAAATATTTGAATGCTAGTCGTTTATATTTGATTGCAAAGCTTGTATATAAAAATCTTCAAGTACACAACGAAGATGCTCCTTTTAGTGTTTCAGTACGTAAAATTCTTTTTAATTGAATTCTGATCCAAAAATAGTATTATTTATATCAAATCATTTACTTTTCCCATATACTAGACCACATTTCCAGTAGTGCAACGGCAATGGGATGCTGTCAGTCACTTTAAGACACAAATCCTGCAGAAATCAACACAGTATCTAAAAGTAGTAGAACAATCTGAACAGGTATTAAAAAACATCCAATATTTTATGGAATGTTAAGATTTTCTAATGATTTTTCCTTTAATCAATTCGAATAGAGCCTTGCAGAAACATTGAGTGCTATTATGCTTCTGGATGATGTGACCATGAAAGATGTATTTAAAATATTTCTTGAAATGAGAAAATCCTCATTACTACAAATTCTAAACAAGTCAGAAAAGGACTCTTTAACTCTTTTAGAACGCTTAAAAGAGATGATTCGAATTATTCGTGCTACAATCTTTCAAGTTGGATTGGTATTCATGCGAACTGGAGATGAAAAATCATTATTTGAATCTTATCTTTATCAGTTACAACAAGGATTTACAATTCAAGAAGATAATATTCAATCGGCAACGACTGCAATGTCTCCGCGCGAGTCAAAATCATCTTTGACTCGTCTTTATTCGTCCTCAACAAATATTCATCTACTTATTCGATATCTTCCCGAATCAATACAAACATTTACTCCGTTCCTTCACACTACTGGCACACGAGGTCAATTTCCTCAAGATGATGTCATAATGCATACGCATCATTGGGTCGATCTAGTTATTGAAGAATTTCGAGAGAAATTGGGCTCTCTGCTTGCCGATATCACTTTTGTGACGGATCTGTACGATCTACGTAAAGCTATATGGGAGATATTGACAGAGGATGAGTATAGCAATATTAGAGGCTCAATTTCACAGGAACCAAAAAGCGAGAGGATTCATCGAACTAGTTTAGGATTTATCTTGACATTACAAAAAACAAACTGGTCTTGGTGTTTTGTGAGTAGTTTTTTTTTCAATATATTCTATTCTTACATTCTTATTCTAAATATTACACTTTAATTAGGTGTGTAATATTGTCCTTAATAAGACATTCTCGATATGGAATGATGTGTTACGGTATGGATTTAATCAACGATTTAAAGATATAATTTCGTCCTCTTTAGCTTTATTATCAAGTCAGCCCGAAAATATATCCAAAAATTATTTACCTCGAATTCAAATTCCTACAAATGAAGGTAACCAGTCATTTCTACATAACTTAATATATCTATCTCCATTTTTTTATTGATTGATGACCAATGTATCTATGCCCTTTTATTAATTTATATTATTATTATGATTGATATTGATGACCTGAATATAAAGAAAGACATCTTGGCAAATTTATATGGGAACAATCAAACATTGTACTTTCTGATACAAGCAAATTAATTGACGAAACAACTGGCTCGACTTTGAAGATTCGCATACAGAGTCTGGTCTATTCTCAGACATCAAGTATTCACGACGCAAAAGAATCTTTTGACAAAGTATTAAAAAACATGCTTCTTGATCTGAAATCAACATTCACACTGACTGGATTCACAATGAGAGATGAGAATAATGATTTATTTAATGCGATTAGGTAAATAATGGTTTTTATTACGGCTAAGCTCGAATTGAAGTACAGGTCGAGTCAACGTTCCTCTATCTTTATTATAGCGATACCGAAAAACTTTTTGTTTTCTTTCAGGACGCATTATTAAGATCTGTGGAGTTATATCGAGATAAATTGAATGATTTGCTCGATGAAAATATTGGACTTCTTGGAAAAGGTCGAGAGGTGGATCAAGAGGAAGCAATCAATTGTTTATGTGAGGTCATACTTAATTTTTTTCTATTTCAGCATTTATTGAACTATATATAATATTAGAGTTTATCCATCTAATCAGCTAGACGGTTACTGATTGGTCGAATTGCGCAGGCGATCGCTTGCGATTCCATCTATTTAGCTTCCGCATTTAATGCACGTGGAATTAATGGAGAATACAAAAATTCTCGAAGATCTTCAGTACCTGGTAATGTTCATAATTTGCTAGCAAAAAATTTTATTAAACATACAGCTTTAAAAATATCAAAATAGATCCAAGACTCTTATCTCTAAGTCGAATGCTTCTTGAAGTCTATACAAATGCACATTATCTTTGGATTGAATGGGTTGTGTGTAAGGCACGGGAAACTATTCAAACATTTCTGAACAGTTCACCGTGGAAAGAAGCAAACATGCAAACCTTGATTTGGGAAGGTAATGAATTTTGAAAAAGTTCTTTTCCGACTTTGAAATTTATGATTGCATTTATGTTTAATAGTCGTGTCGTCACAAGACAAATCCAACGGTGAAATTGAGGAAAGCGAGAAAATGCGATTACCGTCACAGCCATCAAGCATTCTTATGAATTGCTTGTTTAATGTTTGCCAGGAAATAAATCGTATAGGAAGTCCTACCCTAAATAAGGTTGTTATTTTGATTTTGGTAGTGATTTTTGTTGTCATGCTAATTCAAAATATAAAATGCCTTTTTTCTTGGGAAAAGACTATAATCAGAAACCTATTAAAAAGTCTATCCAAAGCAATCTTCACACTTTACGAATCATTCATCAATAATCCAGAACAACTCAAAAACGTATCCGAAAAAGGAGCAATTCAAATGCTATATGACGTGAAATTTCTAAATAAAGTTTTTGAAGGCTGTTGGTCATTTCATCTGAATATCAATAATGGTAATGAAAATTTTCTCATGTGGGATGGTGCGACTAGTAACAATAATAATTATAATAATAACCATGTCGAGGAGGATCCTAGAGGGCTACCCGAAATCGTTGAAAAACTATCTAACGAGATTAAATTAAAGGTTAGTCAATCAGCTCAAATTCATGTGTAATATTAAATATAGGATCTTTTACGCACTAGAATTATTATTTAATATTACAATTCGACAGATTGATCCGATAGATTTGGTAGTTTTCGAGCCATACCTAAACAAAAATGTAGAGCGTCACTATACTCGCAGCGCAATCTTACTGGGAATATTACTTCAATTGAATCCTAAAATTTCAGATACGTACGTTATAGATTATCATAAAGTCTTATGCTCTGTTTCGAACAACATCTAATATGATTGTCATTGTCGTTATTATTATTTTTTTTGTAGGCGACGTAAAGGTTTAGGAATTCAAGATTACCATAATGTTTTGCCAGTTGTACCACAAGCAGCTCGCTTTACATTATTACCATTAAGCCAAGGTCGCCAATGGGATAAAAATTGATATACTCAATCTTGTAATTTATTTGGTAGCGTAGAGGATTAAAAATAGAATAATATATAGATTTTCAATAAACTAATAAATTTATGACAATGGTAAATATGATGATCTCAGATTTTAGAAATTATCGTTATATGTAGTTTACATCTCGAATGATGAGTTTAAAGAATCCGACTATTTGTGTTTTAGGATGTGGCACTATGGGTGTAGCTATTCTTTCCGGCATCATAGATAGTATAGGAGACGTGGCTACAGTTGAAACTCCTTTGTCACTAGATCTGACTAATCATGCTGCTTTCTTTGCACCACAAAAATTCATTGCCTGTGTCTCACAGGAAGAATCTGCGCAACGTCTTGTACGAACCTTTACTGACGAAAAAATAACCGTATTAACGCGCAAAAACGTGGAGGGTGCTAAAGAAGCGCAGGTTATATTATTGTGGTTGGTTCGTCAAAAGTTTCCCTTATCCGGTTTACTTTTCTAGAGTTATTGCATATATGTATAATTTTTCAGAATTGTTAATGATTTTCTTATTTATTTAGTTCAAAACCTCAAACAGCTAAAACAATTCTAACAGAAGAAGGAATGTTTGAAGCATTAGAGAATAAAGTACTGATTAGTATATTGGCAGGCGTACAGATTAATCAAATTAAACAGTGGGTACCTGCTTCCACGAAAATCATACGTGCAATGCCAAATACGTGTTGCCGAGTAAGTGATTCTACTATATTTGATCTTTTACATCTTTAAGGTTGGAGAATTTAATACACGTCTTTTGCGTCATGCGATAGGCTTTTTTTATCAAATTAACAAAGATTATCTTTTCGCCTAATGAGCATATAGATTCGAGAGGGTATGACCGTGTTAAGCTGTCAGCCGAATATTGTTGGTGAGGAGAAGGCGTTCGCGTCTTGGGTGTTTTCGACATTGGGTAGATCGAGATTCTTAGATGAGAAACATTTGGATGCAGTCACCGGACTTTCTGGAAGTGGACCTGCTTTTGCTTGGTATGTATATTCGATGATTGATAGAATGTGATATTGAAATGGCTCTCATTTTTCAATTTTATTATGATAAGCGTTGTGTTGGAAGCTTTAGCTGATGGAGGAGTAATGATGGGACTTCCTCGTGACGTCGCATTAGAATTAGCAGCACAAGGTGAGAAAAAATAAATTGAAATTGAAACCTATAAACTCTATCCGAATCTTTATTAATAATTGACTCATACAGCTTTACAAGGAGCTGCACGAATGGTATTAGAGACAGGAAAACATCCAGCCGAAATCAAAGATAGTGTGACTACACCAGCTGGATGTACCATCGCCGGATTACTCACCATGGAAGATGGAAAGATTAGATCTACATTGGCAAGAACTATTCAGGAAGCTACCAAAGTCGCGTCAACTTTGGGAAATGTTCAGGCGAAATAATCAATGACTTTAACTCTTGGAACATTTGTGTATTTATGTGAGAATGTAATTTATTCTGGGTAATATTATTATTTAATGGTACTAGCATTAAATAATAATAAAGATTTTGAGTGGAAAACTTAACATCTTTCGAGAGTACTCAAACCCTGACTAGTCAATATTAATAAATTATATAAACAATCTAATTCTTTTATTTTCTATCTTCTGATAATATTAGAATTAGCATTTATATCTATCATAAATAATTGAATTCGAAAAAAAAAAAATACTAATATAGCAAGCTAAAAGAAAAGAATTCTCTAATAATGACAATGGTAATAGAACAAATCAATCAATCAGCTTTTTTACTCTTTCTCTTCATATCTTCTCTCACTGCACTCGTCAAGCGAACCCAACTATAAAAAATCAAGATGCTCGGGATCACCATCCAAAACGCATTGGCAAACACAAAATACACCCAATAGTAATATGTTTCTGGACGAGAATGGGGGCTTCCTTCAAATATTGTGGTCCAGTAGTATAAGATGCATCCGTACAATTGGCCCAAAGAAATTACAAGTTGTAGAACGTAGCGTGAAGGCCAATTTTGGTAGATTGCTAGAGCAGTGGTGAATGAAAGTGGGCCCCAGAGTGTCTAATAGTAGTATATATATATATATTAATACGATTGTATACAGAAAAACAAAAATATTTCATGCAATTGATTTTTCCTGATGAAAAACAAAATATAATTACAGAAGTAATTCTCTCCATATTCACAACAAACGGATCCGAAGTCAAATATCTAGAGTCACTCAATGCATACTCTTTCCACATTTGAGCAAACAATGCGTTGTCTTGTTGTATAGTCTGATAGAAAGCGGCAAAGTATCCTTCGAAAAATGTGTGGATGAATCCACAAATCACGAACCACGTAAAGATTATTTTGTTTTTAGTAGAGACTTTATGTTTATTGCTGCTTTTTGCGTGGTTTTGAACTTTGTTGCTGTAGTTTTTTGAGCTTGATATTATTATTAGACTGGTGAATATTAGTAATGATAACACGCTAATAAATGCAGCCAGGATTGTGGTCATTGAAAGGGTTGGTTCGGTGTAGTTTGGAAGCTTTAAAACAACATAATTATTTTTTTGAAAGTGTCACAAAAGTAAAGATTCAAAGAGTATTTTGTTACCTCAAGGTTGGTCGGGTAATATGGATGAGAGGGAAGAGTGTTCTGTATAATATTTTCAACCTCTTCAATCTCACTGGCGACCTCATCCCCTACACCATCACCACCAATCTCACCCAGTAATATACTTTTAAACTGTGTATAAAGTGTCTCGAACATATCCTTTATATAGGTAATATTTATTAAACTGTCTCGTATGAAAATATTGTCTCGTATGAAAATATAAATTTCTCCGAATACTTGTATCAAAACGAAGATCACTACTAAAATTTTGCCATAAACGCGTTCTTACCCTTCAAGGTATTGACAGAAATTGCCTCTTTATGTATGGAAATGGAATTAATACGATTATATTTCTAAAAAAGTCATATTCTTACGTATATTTTATGCTAGTTTTTTTATTAAATCATAAAGTGCTCATCCTTTATCATCTACATTTGATGATATCATTTTGTATCACATACAACGATCACTATAAAAGTTTTTCGAGGTTTTTTGTGTGACTCAGAACAGATCATATTTCTTTGCTGATTCAAGTGTCTTTTTTCCTAACCTTTCAATTATGTTGAGTGTTCAGAAACGAATTTCTGGTGCCTTTAGCTTTAGTGGTAGAGCTGCTCGCTTTTTTTCTATTTCGGCTGTCTCGGTGAATATATTTTTTTTTACGTCTCGAGATTTGCTTTATTTTTCAAACTTTTTGGTTTCGCGTTTCAACATTCCCCTTTTTATTAATTAGAGAATTGCTTGTTTATTTATGCTCGTTGTTAAAACTGCATTAATTTAGAATTCTACGAAAGTTGCCGTACTGGGTGCTTCTGGTGAGTATGTTTCTTGACAAAAAAAAAACTGGCTTTCTTTTGTATTATTGCCAGATTCTTTTGTATCCAACTTGGCATCTACAAACTTACAACACAAATGCAATAACCCAAATAACTGTAAAATTATCATGATCTTCAAAAATAATATTTTCTAAATATAAAAGGTGGTATCGGTCAGCCTCTTTCTCTACTGCTCAAGCTCAACGAACACATTGACACATTATCGCTATACGATATTATTAATACACCCGGTGTCGCTGCTGATTTGAGTCATATTAACACAAAGAGTAAAGTATGTATGTGTTTACCTTATTATCTATTTTCTGATGTTATGTTGTTAATCTGAAGAAAATAAATATTTCAAAAAGGTCACCGGCTACATCCCTGACAACGATGGTTTAAAACATGCAGTCACTGGCGCCGATGTTATAGTCATTCCGGCTGGTGTCCCTCGGAAACCCGGCATGACACGTGATGACTTGTTTAACGTATGTGTTTATGTTGATGAGGTTTTGATGAGTGATTTTCGAATCAGCTTTATAATGTCATACATGTATTTGTTTGACTTATGTAATAATAGACAAATGCTGGAATTGTTAAAGATTTGGCGGAGGCTACGGCAAAGTAAACTTTATACCAACTAACATAAAGAAATAAAAATAATATGTTATTAATTGGCATTCGACAATTTGATATATTATAAAGATATGCACCGAAAGCATTACTAGCAATCATATCAAATCCCGTAAATTCGACTCTTCCAATTTTCTCGGAAACATTCAAAAAATATAATGTGTATGATCCAAATCGGTAAGTTTCTCTATTTTCTCCACTACTTCAATACGTACCAATCTTAATTTATGAGTCTATATCTATTAATAAGAATCTCAAATTTAAACACGTAAAAAATAGCATTTTCGGTGTGACAACTCTTGATGTAGTCCGAGCGTCTCAATTCATCTCTGAACTCAAAAACACAGATCCTAAAAACGAAAAAATTACCGTGGTTGGTGGTCACTCTGGTGTAACCATTGTCCCATTACTCTCTCAAATTGGCCACACGTTCACCGAGGAAGAATACAAGATCTTGACTCACCGAATTCAGAATGGCGGTGATGAGGTCGTTAAGGCTAAGGCTGGTAGGTTTAAGGATGATAAATATTATTATTAACAAATAATGAGATGATTTGTATATGATTTCTTGGGGATTCGAAAAATTGCATTAATAAGTATTATTATAAATTCTTTAATTGATACAATAGGCGCAGGATCAGCAACCCTATCAATGGCCTACGCTGCCTCACACTTTACAAACGCTCTACTTCGTGCCCTTCATGGTGAAAAAGGCGTAATCGAACCAACTTATGTGAAGTCCGATCTTTTCACACCGGACGGTATCGATTATTTCGCATCAAATGTCGAATTAGGGCCAAATGGCATCGAAAAAATATTCCCTCTTGGAAAACTTTCAGATTTTGAAAGAGAGTTGATTAATGCTGCGTTACCGCAATTGAAAAAGAATATTGAAAAGGGAGTGAAGTTTGTTGTTGGATGATTCGATCGTGGAGGGGAATAATTAATAATCAGAGACTATAGATTATAATAAAAAAAATGAATATAATAAATCAAATTTCGCTATTAATTTATTTAGTACACAGGTCATCATCTGCTTCCGACAATCTGTGTTACCTTTGTTGATCGATAGGAGAATTTCTAATTTTAAGCATGTTTTTTTACTTTCTATTTATATAACAATACTCAAACAAAAAATTATTTTAATTTCTAGCTAATTGGGAAACATGGAGAACTTTAATAGTTTTTAGCCAATTGGAATGAATCTAGTGGTGTGGGGATAACTCCGTGGTCATCTTTTCCTTGAAAAGTAAAAACTAAACTCGGAATCAACTCGGCCATCAACAAATCCTAGTAAATAATTTAAGGCAGAAAGTTTACTATCGATGTCACAAATACAATTGGAAAATTAACTTCATTCTTATGCACTCCCTGTGGTGATAACACAATGATCACTAAAAGAAAAGGTGCAGACGTGCAACAAAGATCATTCTGTGCATAGTATAACAGTAGCTCTATTCTTGATACGTACATCATCGTTATCATAAATAAATTTTTAATTATATCCAACACTAACACTAGGAATAAACAAATAAACAATAATAAAAATAGTTTTGGACCCTCTTTTCGAATATTAATATAGTTAATTTTTCAGCCCAAAAAAAAGTACTTAGCCTGCGGTTGTTGCTTGCGCCTCCAAAAATAAAATAAATTTTTCCTCATTTTTTCGTGTATATATTATATGATTATTTTATTTTTTATTTTTCAAACCACAAAAACCTTTGACGATTTTTATTAACGCCAACAATTACATCATTCAATGATATTTATTAATAACAACCATTAAGAAAAAAACCGAAAAAATAATTCTAATTGCAGTTAGTATCATATTATACAACAATAATAAGAATTATATATTATTATTATTATTATTATTCTTGGCCATATAATAAATAAGCCGTAATAGCAACACAATAATAGCTTCAATGAACTCACCAACAGCTTCTTCGCATCAAGTGCACCCAGAGCCCATCAGTGTTGAGCACGATGGAGCAGCAGAAAAGAACAATGTTGGTAGCGGCTTTTTTGATAGTACGTTAAAAATGGCAGGATATCGCAAAAGACGGTTTGGGAAAATTCCTGAACCTGTGATAATTCCCCCTCCAAATCCATCAATTACAACTTCGTCGCCTGTTAGCCCGGCAAAGAGTGATAGTTGTCTGGATTTGCCTTCATCCTCTCCTCGTACCCCGTCAAGCCCAACCAAAAGATTTGTGTTGAAACCGATTAATGCTTTGACTGCCGCATTACAGAGAACTTCGCTCACTAATCTGACTGGGAGAAATAAATCAGCAACAACGTTGAAATTACCAAAGTCTCCACAATCACCAAAAGGAAATTACTCTTCTTCACCTTTATCAACGTTTGGAAAAATAATTTCACCTGGATCACCAACCAATAAATCATCGCCTCAATTGTCTAAACCACCACCACCAAGATCTCCAAGGATATTGCATAGAAAAGGAAGTGGTGGTTCTATTAGAAAAAGTGGATCGGATAGTCCAACAAGAGCTGCTACCGATTCGATCCTCGCTCCTATTAATGATAATAACAATAAAAACAACAACAATTCATCTACTGTAACACAACAGAATCCCGGTGGTAATGGAAATGGATCAAGTGGATCAAGCCCAAAATCATTTTTCTTTCAAAAATCACCATTTAATTTATCAATTAATACAAGTCAAACTTCAGCGCCGAAATCACCATCAAAATTTGGCAAATTTAATCTAAGGACACAAAAATCCGGATCTTCGTGCAGAAAAGCAATGCCAATCTCCCCACTTGAACTCGGTGAAAGATTACGCGAATTTTTACCCAATACTTCTACTAATATCACATCTAATAATGCTAATGCTAATAATAATGGAATTGATCATAGCAAATATAATATTATTAATAGTAAAGCACGCAAAATATCACCCAAACCAATTCTTATTGATGTGAGAAATCTTGCATTATATCAAGACGATCATATTCGAGACTCATTTAATGTTAATCTTCCCACATTACTCATTAAACGATATCGTCGTGGAAATGTTAGTAATTTTTCATTGGATAATTTTATAACTACACCCGAGGGACGAGATAAGTATCTTGATATCGTACAAGAGGATGGCGGTAAAAATGCACGTGATGTAATTGTATTTGATGAGACGATGGATGAATCAGATAAAGTTAGCCCGGGATGGACATTATTAAGCGTGTTGGAACGTGCAATGTTGACTTCGTTAGACTCTTCAGCATCATCAACTGAGAATGTTAATGAATCTTGTGAATTACTAAAAGGAAGAGTTTATTGGCTGAAAGGCGGATTTGAAGCTTTCAAAGATTGGGATAAAGAGAAGATATTCGTGACGGATGGATTAGAATCGCGGCCACTCAAATCTTATTCATCTTCAATAACAACCCAGGATCAGAATAGCAGCAGTAATATAGCATCAGATTATTATAATCATAGCAGTAACAATAATAATACAGAAAATGTATCATCAGTTAATGATAATGAAATTTTTGGTAATGGAGAAGGAACACCAAATTTAGTCAGAAGAGATTCTCTATTTTCAGTTAATACTGAGAGAAGTTCATTGAGACGTAAATTAAGTGATCAAAAAGAAATAGAAAAACAACCTTCAATCGACGAAAATCGTATTAAAGAACAAAAACAACCACAATTATCATTACATCCAACAACAGATTATAATGATCAACAACAGCAGCAGCAATCACAGAAGTCTTCTCCGAAACAACCATCAGATATTGTTAGATCACGGAGAGCTTCAAATGGACTACAATACCTTTTTGCTCCTTCAAATGGAAATTCACGGAATGGTATGTGTATATATATATATATTTTGTTTTGATTTTTTTATATTATGTTTTTTGTAATAATTATTTATTTTGTCCTTATTAGTTAGTGAATGTCCACCGACTCCTTCGGATCCAAATCGACAACGTTATTCATTATTTGATGATGATAATAACAATAATGTGGATTCCAATGAATGCTCACCAAGTACTCCAACTTCTTCGCCACAAGTTACACACCCTGAAACCGTGTTCATAGTTTCCACAATTTTTCCGGATTTTCTGTTCCTCGGACCGGAGATTACTAAACAGGAAGAAGTGGATGAATTGAAGGAAAAGGGTGTAAAAAGAATTCTAAACATGGCGTTTGAATGTGAGGATGTTTTGGGGTTGAATCAACAATTTGAGAACTACCTAAAGTTGAATATTAAAGATTCGGTTGAGGAAGATGTCGAAAGTGGGTTAAAAATTGCTATTGACTTTATAGGTAAGTTTGATATGTTAAGAATTTTATTTAATAATTTACATTTTTTAATCAATTAAATATTTTATTAAAAGATAAAGCGCAAAAAGAAAACGTACCAATTTACGTGCACTGTAAAGCTGGAAGATCTCGATCAGTGACTGCGGTATTAGCATATATTATAAAGACGCGTCGTTGGACTCTAAAGGATGCCTATGATTACGTAATGAAACGGAGACGTGGAATATGTCCAAATATTGGATTTGTGGCTGAATTGATGAGACTCGAAGAAAATGTATTTGGCATACGCCGTTCAAACTTCAGCGCAACCACCTCTTCCTCATCACCATCATCAAAGAATCAAGAATATGAGATGGAAAGGCGAGGAATGGATGATAGTACCATTATTAGTTCGCATAATGAAGGCTCGCAACAACCTATAAAGTTACCAAAGACTGCTTTTTTTTAATTGGATTAACATGACGGGTAACGTGGATGGACTGTGAAAAACAATATAAAAATTGGCGAATAGGGTCAATTACAAAATTTTGAATGAATGTCTTTTATTTATTTATTTTCGTGTGTATTTTTTTACGAAAACGCACAATCTTCAATGTATTATATTTATTTTTTCGATTTCCTTTCCCGCCTTTTCCCTTTGAGACAGACATTGATTTCCGTGTATTTGGTGAAGTTATTGAATAGTGCTTCATCAAATTAAAAATTAAAATTATGTTTTGTCATGGATTTTCATTTTGGTATTTTAAATTGGGATTGCTGACATTGCTGCTGCTGTTAGATTTTACTATGCAGCGAAAAAACATGATTATCTTTAATGTTGAACAAAAAACTAGATGCATATACATGGCTGTAAATATAATATTACGTGTTTTAATTTCATAGTTCTGTGTTACTGAAATTTTTACTTTTATTAGTAAATATTTTTTGTTTTTATATTAAAATAAAGCTAGACTCGCTGATTGTAAATTTGATTACACAAACTATTTATAATTAAAATATAAAAACAAAAAATTAAAAATTCAATTATCAATTATTAAAAAATTATAAATTTATCAATTTATTTCTTTTTTACTGACTTCATTCCATATGTGTAAAAACAACATGTATTATAGTTATTAAAAAACAAGTTTTAGATTATAATAGTTTATAATTATTTCATAATCACTTTATAATTAATAATTATTTTCTTTTAATTATTCAAAGAAATATGTACAATTTGTATATTATAGAATTTGATTCTATTTTGAATAAAGAAATTATTATTGTAATTTATAAATTTATTTTTAATATTGTATGATTTAATATACTTATTATATTTAAATATCAAGAGTTTGAAAATATTTTTTAATTGTTCAGGTTATAAATAATACTTGTTATTAGTTTTTAGTAATTTGTTATACAATGGTTCTCAAAATTATGGAATCATGCAATTTTATTAATAAAATATAATAAAAATAAAAATTTTTGTTTTATATAAAAATTTTCAATTTTATTAATAAATATTTTTTATTTTTATATTAAAACAAACATATTTTTTCTGAACTTTTTAGATTTTTTTGACAAAGTTGTTCTAATTGTAAAGTTATTATAAAAGTTTTTTATAATTAAAATGTAAAATTAATTTTGTAATAACTTTATAATTAGAATAACTTTGTCAAAAAAATATATATTAAACTATAATTTATGATTTTTGTTTTAATATAAAATAAAAAATATTTATTAATAAAATTAAAAACTTTTATATAAGATAAAAATTTTAATTTTTACTATATTTTATTAATAAAATTGCATGTATGATTTTATAATTTTGAGAGTTACTATATATTATTATCATTTTTTATAGATGTTAAGTTCTGATGTATTAATCATGTATTTTATTAATATGAGAGCAAGAAAGATTAAGTTTTTGTAATAGAAGAGACTAAGATTTATCACTAAAGATAAATAACATGTGTTCTTATTATGATGAGCTAGAATGACGTTGTTACGACTGAAAATTTACATAATCTACATAACTTCTATAACTTTCATAATTTTGATAATTATCATAATTATTGTAATTATCACAAATTTCATAGTATTTATTATTTATTATTTTTATATAATTGTAACATTTATTAGTAAAAAATATTTATTATAAATAAAGTGCAATTGAAGCTTTGAAAAAAGATATCAATTGATCAATACAAAATCTAACTAGTTAATAAACTGTTTCTTATTTATTATTAATGAAATTTATACATTAATTGATTGAATAATAACTTATTAAAATACTTACATTTATTGTACACTATTGAACAGATGTCAAAGTTGCTATAGAATATTAATACTGTATTGCTATAGAACTATCACACACTAAGTAGACATAACATATATTAGTAATAATAAGAGTCTATTTAACAAATAGAAGAAAATGCACTGCGTGATGATCCTGAAGTATACTCATTACGAAGAGATTGAGCAACTGTAAAATTACCATTATCAAATATTGATTGAACATTCACGTCATGATAATACTTATCAGAAGCCTGATCGTGACAATGTCCAATAACTTCACTTAAACTTTAATAAGTTTTTTTATAATTTTAAAGATAATAATTCAAGATAATAAATCTTTCAAGTAATTATCTTTCAAGTCAAATATAATAATTGATCATTCAATAGTGATCTATCTTTCAAGACCAAAACCAATATCAAATATAATTCAACAAGTTATTTTTATTAAAATGTTCCAACTTTTAAAGTATTCAACTTCTTACAACTTATTTTTCAATTACTAGCTAAGTTACATTGCTTTTATAATATTTAATGGTTTTACGAAAATTACTTTTGCTATGATACTATTGCTACTTTTATTAAGATCTAATTGCTTACTTTGCTAGTATCAGATTGCTGTTTTTACTATGATCAAATTGCTGGTTTAGCTAGGATCCAATTGCTAGTTTAGCTCAGATCATTTTGCTAATTTTGCTATAATATTGCTTGTTCTATTATCTAATATTAATAAATAAGATCTCTTCTAGTTAGTGTCCAATAAGATATTAATAAATATTATCCAATAATATTATAATATGAATTGTTCAATAAATAATAAAATAATTAATATAATAAAAGTTTATATTGTTACTGTTTTGATGAGGCTTTGAAATACTCAAGGGTATTTATAATATTCAAAAGGGAAACTCAAATATCTTAATGATAATTTACAGTCTTAATAATACTTTATGGCTTTAGACTGGATATAAGTTAAACAATAAGTACTTATAAAAATCACTTAAAGATTAGTAACAGTTGTGTTCTTTTAAACATAATAACTGGACTACTAAAAAGAGTTCTCAAAATCTCAGAGTCAAAATTATAAAGATTATAATATTCGTATTATTAGCAATACGAGATCGAAAATAAATATATAAACAATATATTATTAGTAATACAAAGTCAAAGATAAGTTTATGAGCAATATATTATTAGCAATACAATTTCAAAGACAGATTTATAAATTATAATAATAATTTCTTTATTTAATATAATGTTCAATAGATTTCATTACAATGTGTTCAGAAAGTCTAGGATAAAGATAATAACTTTTATAATGCTCCTGATAATCTTGCTTAAGCTACTATAATATATATTAATTCAAGGTCTGTATAACTTCTTATAAAGCTATTATACAAGAAAATGAATACTTTGTCAAAAGGGTATAGAGAGGAGTTTGTACTTGACTACCTACTTTATATTGTTACCGTTCTTATAATAATAGGCAAAGTATTAACTAATTATAACAATTAATTAAGAATTATATAAGAGCGATAAGAGTGACTGTGTGTACTTGAGAGGGTTGGATACTAGATGGTTGGAAGAGAGTATTAAAAAGAAATAGATTCTATACTTCCACTAGTTGGGTAAGTATTTTATGATTTAAAAATACGAATGAT